AAAAATAATGAAAAATATCTTAAGTATGTATCCAAAGTCCCTCAATAAGGGCCAAACAGTAGAGTAGAAAGTAGTTTGCAGATAATACCAGCAATGAAAAAGTAATGATGAGGCACAGAATTATAGTGAAGTCCAGATCTCACACTTCATTTGCAATTTTGACAGCCTCCTTTTCAAAATAAGATTAAAAAAATAATAACTTAAGCCCTAATAGCATTGGGTTCACAGTGGACCCATAGTGGATAAATTGCCCATTGGTTTATTGTCCATCCAGCATCTGTCACACATCTATTCAACAGTATGAACTATCTAAAGTGCTGGGGACACAAACACAAGTGAGAAAAAACCTTTTATTAGAAGGACTAATGGATAGGGTTTTTTAAAAAATCATATTTTTAATCAAAATAAACATTATGAAAAGTAAAACAGATATGCAAGTGAAAATCATTTTAAAAATGTAAGCAGTACATATGTAGGTCTAGTGGATTATCACTAAACAACCAAAGGTCATACATATACACCCTCCAAACCTAGGGAAATATCTACCTTCACTCAATCATTAGTATCCAATATAGAAGGAAGTGTCAGAGGACATAAAAGCATGATAAAATAGAATTCTAAAACAGATACCTAAAAAACAAACAAAAATCCTATCAATTTAAAAAAGAATCCATTTAAAGCTTTATTAAAAAAGGAAAAAGAGGATCTTTTACAACATTACAATAGATCTAGATCTACCTTTGCCTTTCCTTCTAGAGCTCCAGTTCCTGCATAAATTTTACTGATTGAATCACCATTCACAGACCACATAGATCGAAAAACTTCTTGAAAGCGAGTCACCAACTGGGGCTTTTCAGCTAAGCCGAGAGCTTCCAACTGTTTGGTTAGCATCTAAAATAACAAAGGAAAAACTTATATGTATGTTAATACATTAATTATTATGTGACATTTTAAGAACTGCCAGAATCAAACCAAAAATATACAGTTATAGGACTATGGGGGATTGGATTCTGAAAACACAACAGTTTACTAAGCTGTGTTACTTCCCACCATTTCAGTTTCTAAAGTAAGTACCACATCAGTGAAATCTACAAGCAACTCAGTACCCCCTTATCGTAATAAGAATTTCTTTCTGGCTAAATGATATTATTTTATTAAAATGTCCCTGTAAATCAAACAAGTTTACCTTGTTCACCTAAAGGAACTAATTATGCAACAGCATGCATTGGAGCAAAGAAATATTTACCTAGTTTATTTAAATATATATAACTAAATTTCTTTAGTTTGGGGATTTGGTTCTGTAAGTTTGGCTAATTAAGGTCAGAAGACTATTTGAGAAAAGTAGAGCTGCTCTTGAACTGTTACTAAAATTTAAAAAAACAAGTCATCTCTCTGAATAAAGTCATATCAGCTTTTATAGAATAAAATTCATACTGATAATGCATAGAAGGGAGAACCAGTGTAAACAAAGCATGCAAAGACTGCAAGGATTCCTAGGCCAGCACAGTTCCTTTATCACAGATCACGGTAGAAGTGTTTAGAAAAGTTACTGGTCTTTACTCTGAATGAATTTTAGCCTTGAAGTCTGGCAGAGTCAGTCTGGCAATGTATAATCCTTATCCAGTCTATTTCTCTTATTTGGAATATAGTCATAACTTGTGCCTTGCATTTTTCTTAACTCCCCACCACTTGTGTTTTCTTTTATTTTGTCTATCAGTGGAGATACTTATAGAGGGATCAAAAACTAAAATAATATAAAAGAAAACCTAAACTGAGTCTATCTGATTGCCAAGGGACTTACACGAAAGCTATTCTTTGCTAGCATGGAGAATTAAAAAAAAAAAATTCCAGAGTCTCCTTTATAATTATACCTTTTTTTTTAAGGAACTGGGCAAAATAGTCTTCACCACTAGTAGTCCAGTTTTGCCTACTTTAGCAGTAACTTTTGTAACCAGTTAACCACTTGCTATACCAGGGAATATTCTCACACCTAAAAATGAACAGTGGGTACTTAACAAGTCAGATTCTGAAAACACCTGTTTAGCTTTTAATGAAGATGTTTAAGTATTTCACTAAGTTTACTCTCAGAATATAACTACATGTATTCAGCCACTTAAGAACAGAACTCAAAACAACCCTGGGCCATGTGACAAACTCCATCCCAATGACCAAATGCCTGCTTTCACTTTTCTTGTCTCTGTCAGATTTTCCAAATAAATTAAAATGATAAAACTCAATGACAGACTTCAAAAAAGGCAGGGTAGTAACATTTTTTTTAATTGTTAATATTTAATTTTTATTTTGAATACTTTTTTGCTCAGGGTCAATGACTGTATATTGTGAGTAAATGAAGCAGATGTTCATGATAGTAACATTTATTTAGTTGAATGAAAAATATATTTCTGTAGCAGAGAATTCTACACAGTATATTTTCATTTTTGAGATAGAAAGAACCTCAGCTGCAGAGAAATTAACCAATATTTTGGCCAAATCTAAGATGATTTACTAGAGAAAACAAGAACATATTACTTTCTATTCCCGGTTTTTACAGTATTTGAGAACTATGTTAAGTTCCTATGGAACTAAATGAAGACCCAGGATAGCCCTAGGACCCTAACTATTGCATAATAGGTAAGACTTAGGAATCTCAGCATTGCTACACAGTTTGTCAAATAGTTGAGACAATGCCTAAATTAGACTGAATCTGATAGATTTAGTAATAAAGAAAAACACTTTGAAAGACTTTGTTGAAGTTGGCTCTCATTTACTTTCATTCTGACAATGACATTTTTCATCTGATCCTGTTTTTTGTAGCAACTGATTTGAAAATGTCATGTAAACTGCTCTGCATTAGACTCTGTCAAGTATATAATACTATTGAGCTGTACGTGTGAAAACAAATCCTCCCCAATTCTGAAAAGACTTTTAAAAGAGAATGAAGGCCAAATATATACATATATACACATATTTTTTCTTTACCCAAAAGACAGGCAAAAGAAGCAATTACTGGAATAGTATAAATAGCACTTTTTTTAAGAGAAAGTTAAACGATAGAGGGAAATAGAAGCTATTTAAAGAAAGTAATTAGAACAGATAAAGGAAACATTTAAATGAAAAGGGATGTTGGCAAAAAAAAAAACTAGAAGTAAAGAATGCCTTTAGCATAACTTTATTTTATGAAAATTAATGAGAAACATAAAATGTTAAAAAAAGCAGTGAAAAAGTCATTTGATACAAGTTGCATACACATATTTTAATTTTTTTTTTACCTCTAAGCCAAGGAACGCCTGTACACTATTTGTTCTATCAAGACAATCCAAGCAGTTTGTTCGAACTGTACCACTCTGGCATCTGTAAAAATTTGGTGAAGTTAAACAGCTAGTTTGAAACAAAAATAGGAAAGCTAAAACAAACTGAGAAAATTTAAGCAGATTAAAATGTAGAATCCACTTTCCACACCCCCAACCTTTTTGGTATAATAATTCTCAAACATACAAAAAAAGTGAAAGAATTTTACATTGAACATCCGTTAACCAACCAACCAGATTCTGTAACTGTTAACACTTTGCCATATATTCTTTACTACACATCTCTCTTTTCAGCCACATCCACTTATTTTTAATTAGGCCAGCAGTTAGGAGCTGAACACACATTCAGATTTATAACCCTACAGTTCTATGCTAAAGCAGACGATAGTTGTGTTTTTTAATTATTATTTGCATTTAATAAGCCTTACTAAGGTCACAAAATTATTAAGACATTAATTTTAAGAGACAAATAGAATAGAGCATTAAGTCTGGAGCCAGATGAATCCTAGCTCTAATGCCTCCCAGTTATGGGACTTGGGGCGGATGATGGCTTTATGCCTCCATGTCCTCATATGTGAATGGCGACAGTAATAGAACCTATCCCTACAGTTGTTATTAATACTTGTAAAGACTAAGTACACTGCTCAACCCCTAGTATGTGCCCAGTAATGTAATCTATTATCACCATTTGCTGAATTCTAAAGAAAGAAAAAAAGCTTAAAATCAAATATAATAAAGGAAGATGTTTTACTTAATTAAATAAAACTATAGCAAAGTGCCAATTTAAAGAAAAGCAAATCAAAGCAGTCAGACCTTTGAACTTCACTTCCATTGAAATAAAAAAATCCATAATCTAGGAACTTTTGGACTTGAGGTTTAAGGACACTATGTAATTTTTCTGCCTTTCCTCCTTTAACCATTTGATGATAGTCAAAATTCACCATCTGGATATCAGCAGCATGCTCAGAAGCTTTCAAATGACTCTGAAAATAAAAGGCAAACAATCATTTAAATGTTAACCAAATCTGATCTTATCAATACAGTGTTATAAATGGAAACTTACAGTTTAAATTAAAATCTCAGCAAGGTCCTTGAAATCTTACTAATCTCACAAAGCTTTCATTACCACTGGCAGTAAAATGGAAAATTACTTGCTGATATCTTATGGCATCTTTTCCCTAAAACCTCATTCACAGCCCCAGAGAGATTAGGTATGACATAATTAATATAAGGGAATTTAAATAACATTCTCATCTGGTTTAGAAAATGAAAAGCGATTTTCAACTACCAGCATTTCATTTTTTACTGTGCGAACATAACGACTATTTATATCTATTACAGAATCTCAAAATAAAGAAAATTATTTTTAAGACAAAGCCTATCAAAGACTGAAAAATTCATTTTTTATAACTTCATTCAACACATACGGATATTTTAAAAGTTTAGCATAAAAAGGTCATTCGCTAAAGTATAAATTGTTTACTAATGATATTAAAATAAAATAGCCAAATAATAAATTATTATAATAATAAATAATTCTGGACTTTATTAACTTGAACTTTAGAAAATGTTTTCTAACCATGTTGTTTAATTTAAGCTTATAACCCTATGTAACACCATAATTTATATCAATTCTTTTTTTTTTTAATTTTGGGGGAGGAGGTAATTCAGTTTGTTTTTTGTTTGTTTTAATGGAGGAACTGGGGATTGAACCCAGGACCTCATGGATGATAGGCACGTACTCTACCACTGAGCTATACCCTCCGCCTATCAATTCATTACTGAATCAATAAACATCTGTAAAAAATATTTTTTCTTTAGAAGTCATACATTTCTTTAGGTTCTTATTTACTTGAAATTCCCAAATCCAAATTTTCTTTCTCAATACAAGGTATAGTCTTGCATGTACACAAATGCATTATTCACCACTTCATAGGTTTAAAACAATGACTTTGGTTTCCAGGAAATAGACAAGGCAATGAACAGATAAAGGAGGAGACTGCCTGGTATCTTTCTACCAGTGACAAATGAGTATTTTTGAGGGGGAAGGTATTCTTCTGCTTCTCTACAACATAAATAAGGAGATTAGAAAACAGAGTCAGTTGCCTTGAAAGCTTTCCATAATCCCAATTTCAGCAACATTACCCTAAACTGTTGCCTAACTGCCTCAAAGAGTTAATGGTTCCAAGAAGTACCCAACCTTTCACTTGGCAGTAATTTATTTCCTGGAAGAATTTGATTATTTTATTATATTATTTTAAAAGTACCATTTTAGGCATCCATGGGCCAGAACAGAAGAAAAAAAAATGATTATATTTACCTGGAAAGCCTTACTTAGCATATGTTCACCTTCCTTAGAGCCAAGCAAATTTACTATTATTTGTTTACCATATAAATTCTTAAGTGTTCTAAAATGCCTATTAAAGAAAGGAAATAAGCATACATCAATGATAAGCAAAAAACTTTTTTCAATTAATAGGAAACCATTATTAAACAGGACCTACATGGCAGTATTTTAAACTCACAGAACTGACACAACTGGATACAAATTCACTTCACATGGTCTCAAAACTCTGAATTTATGAAAACTCAGTTAATGCAATTTCCTCTCTGACTTATCAATGCTAAAATTCCCACCTATGCTACAGCTGTTAGAATCATCCAGCTCCCTCTCCACTCAGGCTGATGCTAGACAGGCATGGAAAACACAGGTCACCCCGCTTGCTGGGAAGGCAGCTGGGGCAGAGGGCGCAGGGCTGCACTTCACACATGAGGACATCACATACTCTGTGAATCTTCAGAGGCCTCCTTAGAGCTCCAGCCTTCAGGAAAACAGGCCCCAAATATGAGCCCCTTTTCCCTCCAGCTTCTAACCATTCAAGAGGGTGAAGAGCAATGCCGTGCAAAGGAAATATAACAAAAGCCACAGATATAATTTTTAATTTTCTAGATGGTACATTTAAGAAAGCAAAAATAAACAGATGAATTAATTTACATATATTTTATTTAACCCAATATAGCTAAGCTATCATTTCTACAGGTAATTAACATGTAAAAGAAATATTAATAAGGTATCTTGCTTTTCTTGTTTTGCACTAAGTCTGAAATCCAGTGTGTACTTTACACCTACAGCACATCGCAACTTGGACTAGTCAATTTCAAGTGCTCAAGAGCTCCACGTGGCTAGTGGCTACTGAATCCAGGAGCACACCCGTCAGAGGTAGTTTTAAGGCCAAGACATCAAGATCCACACACCTAGTGCCATCAT